TATAAACTTATAAATATATGCATCTGTGACAGATGCCTATTCTGCTTACCTGCATCTTCATCATAGATCTCGTAGAAATCACCACACTGATAGAGTAATAAATGGCCAGGATATTGTGCTCTAAAGGAATCCCATTGCTTTTTGAGTTCTGTGGTACGGACGGTATCCTTCTTGAGTTCTTCAGTTGCTATTAAGCCACTCTCCAATTCTTTTGATTCAAGTGCTTGTATGGTTGCGCTTTGTGTCTGCTCAGTTGTTGTTGGAGTGGCCGCACCCCTCTTGCTCTTCGGCTTCTGTAGTATATATTCTACCTCTGAGGGGCTGCTTCCCAATTCCTCAACAGTTTTTCCCGCTTGAAGTGGCATATTATCACCATTTATATCCCTACTACGTAAATTTGTCTCAGTTATGCCACTACCTTTCTGAGCTAGCATCTTCCTTCGCTTCGTCACGCGTCGTTTTACAGTCAACGTATCCGTCAAGTTAAACCGTTCCAGAGGTGTATCTACAGACATGATCTCCTCTACTGTGGCCTTCCCCTGTGCCGTTGCATTAGGCGTTGGAGTGCTGTGTGCATGTAATCTAGGTACAGCTGTCCTGATACTAGCTTTTACAATCCTCAATGTGTGTGCATGCACTGTAGTACCTCTAAACTCGCACATTGGGGCCCCACCTTCACAACTCCGTTTTGCTTGTGTATGTAAGCTTCTTCTGAGTAGACTATAAAACTGTGTACCAGTATACTCAGAACAGCATATAGACTTGCCCACGCAACTCTTTACTCTGCTACATGGTGTCTGCACGGACAAACAACGAATTGATTGCCTACCACCATCGAGTACAAGTTGGGTATAGTTGGATAAACGTGGGTTTAATTCAATTCGGGTGTTCGATCGTGTGGCGCGTGTCGCCCAAGTGCGAACTGTCTGACTGTAACGCATCCTGCAGATAGTAGAGGTTACTTGATAATTGCGATTGACTAAAAGGTAATTGACAGAGGACAATGCATTGTTTTCCAACGAGCACTTGTGACTATATTAGCATCTTCTCCATCACTTGGACAAAGCCACTGTAACTATACCCATTTGCGATGCAAGTGTTGTGTATGGCAACATGCAAGTGATACTGCCTGATGCACCCTTCCAAGATATTGCACCAAAAGGATGTGATGCGGAAGGTCACCTGGACAAGCACAGGTATTTAATTCATAGCCTACTACAGTATATTTACTTTTTTTACACAATACATTATATAGTGTCATAGCCCCTTCATTCATCAACAATATATGTTTTGGAAAAAAAGCACGGTATTTACCAACAGGTCGATATCATTGACTATGAGGACACCAGATTTGATACATACATAGTAACGTAGTGACACTACACCCATGCGATACCGTATACCGACGAGCGGCCTGTACAAATACTAAATTTGTCAACAATCCCGAGGTTTCCCTTCCGGTGGCTGATTGGCTATGCTCTAAATATCACTGTCAGACACCAATATATAAATTTAACATTTGCCGTAACTTTTAAGGTATCGATTTATCAGGCTATCAAAACGGAACACTTTCAATTTATAATTTAGAGCTTAGGTGCTAAACGTACGACCGTCCATCACAGAAGTAGACTTTTGACCAGAATGTATCTGTCAGAATCCCGGAACTAGGGGCAGGTTACACCCCGCTAGTCTAGAGAATGCAATAGCGCAATCAAATTACTATCTATACGAGACTGTGATATTGGGCTGTAGCTGCTTTGAAGAATCTCCTGGACACTTTCCTTATCAAATCTGTACCTCACACGCTAACAGCGAATCGCCAGTCAAAGATACATTATGATGCTATGATTAACTGAGACAAGACGCGATATCTGGTGTTTTGGTGGTTCATTATATTGGAACAGAATCAATTCTATTCTATTGAAGTCAAGATGCGCCTTTCTTAAGCCCTAAGAGCTAAAAGTCCTTTTGTCCTAATTAAAGTTGTTTTGTTCATATTTAGTTTTTTTTTGTCACATCCATACATAGCTTCCTATAAATTGAACATTTTTCTCTCCAGTGGTGGTCTTTTGGAAGGATTTTGCTTGACGCGTCAAGAGTTTTTCTTCTTTTTTGGAAGTCTTTTATTTGGCGCGCAGTTTCGTTTTAGGAGGCTATGCTCTGGGGCTATTCCCCGAAGCTCGAAGGTAGGGACTACTTAGTCTACTCTATTGAGTCTCACTAACTTAGTCTACTCAAGTTAGTCTCTAGTCGGGTCACCGGGGGAGTCTGGGAGTCTCTGGGACAGTAGTCATTGGCTGATGCGGCGTTGATAAAAATACATGCACTTCCTACTTCTACAAAATCTAAAATAGTTTTAATAATGAATAGGATATGTTGACAACTAAAATGACGAAATAATCCATCGCCAGCTGTTCACACAAAGTACACACATGCACGTATCGCTCGCATCAGGTGACATCAGCTGGTAGTGTTGGACTGTTGGGATCTGGGATACCGTGTGTTTACTGTAGTCAGGGAACGTAAACCTCTCAGGCACGACATGATATATACAAGCAAATAGCTATCCCTAGTATTAATAATACAACACAAAGAACACGAATCTTGTATATAGCGGAGTGCAGTCATTAGTTCTTATTCGCAATGGCCCAGGGGGGTCATGGAGGTCATGGTGCGCGGAGAATGAAATCGCTGCGACAAGCTAATAGAGAACCCAGTCCCGCGGCACGTGAACAGTGGAAGGTGTGTTCATATGTTGGCTATTGTCTTTATGTCTTTGTATATATAGTTGACTGCAGTGGAAGATGTGCTCATATTTTAGTGTTTGCTTTTTGACAGTATGCATAAAGTGGAGAAGCATGCCTCGCTCAGTATTTGACATCTATCGGCGTAGGCTACTGTTTACTCGCGCTCGTTCCGTATTTGATCTGAATGAGAGGCTGGAAATTAGAGTGCATGAGGGGTACCTGCAGTCCAACATATTCAGGCTGTGGGGGGACATATGTTCTTATACATTTGATCGAAACACGGGGATACATGCTATACAATTGATTTTCACATATCGGTATAAATATCCGAACATCATTTTGCATAAATATACACCTGAAAGAATTATAGTATACTCAGAATGCCAGGAAGTAACATAGATTTAGACAAATTTAAACTTAATTTATTCCAAACAACATGTGGTAATAATGTATATATATCCGTACATTGTCCTAGTTATCAAAATTCCTGGTTAAATAGATCTCTGCTCTTGAAATTTTACATGTACGTTATATATATATATATATATATATATATATGTGTGTGTGTGTGTGTGTGTGTGTGTGTGTGTGTGTGTGTGTGTGTGTATATATAT